CCCCAAAACCCCAAAACCCCAAAACCCCAAAACCCCATGAGCTAAGATAAATTTTGAAAAGGGAAATAAATTATCAAAATACTAAATTCTATAAGATTTTATTTTTAATACTAATATCAATGTATTTTTTAGCTCAAGATAATCTTTAAAAGATTAAAAATTAACTTCAACGAAGAATGATTTACTCTGTATCAAATCTTGATACTTTCAAAGATTTCTAAAATTTTATCAATCTAAACCCAGACTCTGAATTTCAGATTGAAATCATATAATATGAGAAAGACAAGAGGGATCATAAAGAAGAAGAGTAAGAAATAAGACAAAAAAACAGATCAAAGAAATAATTAGATGATCAGTCAAAGAATTTCAGTCAACTTTCATTATTGCCATCCTCAGATCGTAACTATACTATCCAATTATAACATAATATAGGTGAAAAGGAAAGGACAAATTCATTTAAGAGAATCTCAGACTAGAATCAGAATAAAGGAAGGTATTCTAGTAAAAATGAATAAATTTTGGCTTAAAACATGCCATAGCCAGAAAAATTTATCTCCGACTCCACAAATTTCTAATCTCCTGATAATATTAGAGGATACAACTTGGCATCTTCCACTCTCTATAAGATTTCATAAAATACAAATACAATCTCTCAAGAAACAATAATCAAAAGTAAAAGCAATGAAAACCCTAAAATCACCAATTCAGTAGGAGCTTAAAAGGTAAGCAAATGGACTGATGACAGCTTTAATCATCTAAGAGCCTAATCATTGCTAAATTTTGAGAGAGCTAGAATGGGCAATTGCTTAAAAAGAGCTGTGTGTAAAATCTTCTCTAAAATTCAAAAGCACACAAAAAATCTCCAACTCATTCAGAAAGTTATTTTCCAGAGTCTCGATAGAATAGGAGATATCCAGAATTTCGACAAAATGATGGAATCTTAGAAAAACGCCATGACCTCCTCCATTCTGGTCATCGAAAGTGAGGTCGGTACTCAGTTTTACTTTATCATCAAATATTTTAGAGAGGTAAAACAGTTCTATGATAGTCTAGAATCCCTTTGCAAGATGGATATTTATTTAGAGCGAGGTAATCCCATTGAAATTTTGAAAAGTTTCGTACCACTCTTTATTAGAAAATAAGATGATCTTCAACTTCATGAGTTACTTTCTAACATCAGTTAAGGTCTGACTTTTGAGCAGGCAAAGTAAACTCTAGAGTGCATCTAAAGAGAAATAATAGCTCATTCATGAGAGCAGACCTTTAAACTTAACAAAAGGAAAAGAAGATAGTACACTCCAATTAAAAATAACAGACCATATCTTCCTCGGGATCACCATAGTTTTTTAAAAGAGCATCATCTTTAAGACAAAAATCCAACATCTGGGAAGAAGCATTTGAACCTATGCGATAAAAATGAAGAGATTAAAGATAATTCTCCAATTCAACTTATCATTTAGCCTGATGAAAATGAGGATTCAACTTTCTAAAATTTCTAAACGCTTCATCAGGAAGAAATTGATTTTTCCCCAAGAGATATGGTTTTTCCGGAAAAAAAGAGAGATTTAAAAAGTTAAGATAAATCTGAAAAAAGATAATTTAAAAAACTACTCTAATCCCCTCCAAAGTAACCTAAGTCATCTATGAAAACTAATTCTAACTCAAAAACACAATAGAAATGTAAAACTGCCTAAAAATATTAAGAACCTTAACTTCAAAAAATTTCTAAGGCTAAATATCAATCATATACCAAGAAAAATTCTAAGTTCCATTCAAAACTTGGTAAATAAAATCTTAGAAAGTATAAAAAAAACAAGTACTAAAATGATCTTTCATTTTTCTCCGATAATTAAGGTATGACTACAGACTATAACACTGAAGCTGCTTTGAAAGCTGTTAACATTAATCCCGTTATCAAAAGCCATGAAGTAAAAGTATAATAGAGGAGAAAAGACAATTAACTAAATTTTCTGTTTTAAGAATAAATTCTTTTTACAAACCCAATCGATGTATAACCCAGCAATCTCTAGCATTCTACTAACTTACAAGTCAAAATGGAAGACGATCCATTCAATCAACAATAAGAGTTGGAAGATAAAAAAATAATGTTCCAAGAATAGTTCGAAATACATAGCATCTAGGATTCAGAAACCTAAATATTAAAAATGCTTGAAAAAGACTTATTGAAACTTTAGGATGTTAGGTTTCGATCAGTTTAGAATTCTCATAATTAATCACCATGGTTTGAAGACTTATAGAAACCTGATATCACGAAGTTCCTAAAATCAAATGATCAACCCAAAAGAGCTAGCTAGAAAATGAATTTACAAAAGAATGATTAATCTTATTCAGAGCCTAGCAGCAAAAAACCAAATCTCAATAAAAATAAATTCCAAAATTTTGACCTTGAAACTATTATGAAAGAGGAAAGCCATTTTCATAATACCTAGTAAGATCTATAATAACTAAACTAATAATTTTGAATACTCATTCAGGTTCTGTAGAAAGAACTTTTTCTGATATTCAATGATATTTGTAAATAGTAACATTTATATTATGTTGGTAGAAGCAGCAGACTGATGCCAGTTTCTCCATTCAACTCAAGTTTTATTTATGACATATTGAAATCAATTATTATTAGGATGCATCACCTAATGTTTATTTTATTTCATAAGATACTTTCATTCATAATCATTATTCTTCTAATTAGGGGTTTTGGGGTTTTGGGGTTTTGGGG